CCGCTCCCCTGCGCCGCGCGTCCGACGGTCGCGCGCTCGGTGGGGTGGCGCTGGGGGTGGCGCGGGGCGGGGCAGGTGTGGGTTGGGGGCGGGGCAGGGGAGGGGGCAGGGCGTGGGCAAGGGGGAGGCAAAGCAGGGCAGGATGGGGCGAGGGATGGGGCGGGGGGGCAAGGACCAGGGCAGGGGGGTGAGCACAAGCCTTCAGTTCCTGATTGCACCCTGTTGAAGAGTTGAAAACATTGAAAAGCGTTCCTCTTTCGTCCTCTCTCCCTCTATCTCCTGTCGTGTTTTTCTCTCTTTTACCCCGTTGTTTGAAAGGGTCATTAATGTTCTAATTCCCAACACACCCACCTTCCCCCTCCCCCACAAAGAAAATTGAAGTTGAACACCGTATATTGCTCCCCCTGTGCTCATCAGGGGGCAGCTTCTTTTCTTTCAGCTTATGAGGTTTTGGACCATATACCCCCCCTTACCCCATGCGCAAGGGGGTCTTATGCTTTTCAAGTTGTTTCACCTTCTCTGGTCCTTGAATCAAGAACAGATTGTGGCAGACGTCCTGATCTTCTTTTCCTTGCACCAAACTCCAAGTTTCTTCGTGGGCTTGGGTTCGTTCACAACTTCATTTGTGTGCATCATGGGAAATGTTGGGTGCCGTCTTCTGCCACATACAACGCACCCCGATCAGGGAGGCATAGAAGCTATCTTCCAGGTCCAGTACAGTCGTAATGATACATCTCATCCCGATCATGAACGTATAGAAGCTATCTTCCCAGCTCGATAAAGTCATGGCGATTGTTGCATTTTTATCCTTCTCAGCGGCCGCATTTTTGCTCAGCAGTGCTTCCACGGCAAACACGAGTGGAACCAATGGCGACGTCGAGTAGGCTACAGCTGCTATGCTTTTCAATGTGAGGATTCGGCTTCTAGCAATATATGGTAAGTGTTAGGTGCGCGGATCGTAGAATTCATGCAGGCACAGTTCTGTTGCTTAATTCCGGATAATTCTTCCAATTTCTCGGTTTTGAAATTTGTTAAAATTTCTATTTAAAAAAAAAACTTAAAAAAATAATAATTATTGTTCATCATGGAATTCCTTGTCTGCCCTTTCTTCCTGAATCTCGTTGTTTGCTTCTTTTCTACATATCCTCCTTTGGGGCTCTGCCTCCCATAACTTTACTTCCCCTGCAGGACCTGCTAGAACATGCAACCATAGTTTTGTTGCCTGATTTAAAAAAAAGATGAAATTCTTTGTCTGTAACTAGAACTAAATAAATAGTAAATACCAAATTCCCTTTTCAATGTTTTCATGATTTCATCATCATTTAAAAACTCGAAATTCCTTGTCAGTCCTTTTCTCCTTCTGAACCTCGTTGTTTGTTTCTCTTCTACGCCAGACTACGCGCCCGCCCCGGTCCCCCATAGCCTTCCAGTTCCCTCCTCCACTCTTAACCCACCCTTCCCTCCCTAGGTCTAATCCTTACCTTTTTGTCCCACTCTTGTCTTGCTTCTTCGTTTCCTTTCTCTCTCTTCTCTCTCATTCTTTTTCTCTGTCCTTCCTCTCCCTCTCTTCCCTTCCTGTCCTTCTCCCCCTCTCCAGCACACACACACACACATCCACCTGCTGTGAACCTGATGCCATCATTGGCTAGATCCCTGATTAAATCAAGGTGGCTGGTGGTGAGAGGATGTCCCTCTCTTCCCCTCCTCCTCTCCTTCTCCCCCTCCTCCTCTCCTTCTCCCCCTTCGTCTCCAGCACACACACACACACACACACATCCATCTGCTGTGCACCTGATGCCATCATTGGCTAGCTCCCTGATTGAATCAAGGTGGCTGGTGGTGAGAGGGTGCTGATTGCTGTTTATTGGGTGAAATGGACGATCTGGATGCATTCCAAACGATGGATTGGATTCTGTTCATCTGATTGCATCTGGATCCGAACTTGGGTCTACATTTCAACAGTCCATGGGTGTACCGACTGAGCTATACCGGTTGGTGGTTAATCAATGGATTGGATTGGAGTGGAGTGGATTGGAATTTGTATTGATTGGTGCAGATTAGCGACTGGTATACGAGACTGCTGAGGGACGAAGTGGTTGCAGAGTGGAAGGCGGCTCAGTCCAATAGGAGTGAATGCTCGCTGTCATTACATGTCCATTGTCAGATCGACGGTCCCATCCCGATCGTCCCAGATGGATTTCGCCGTTGGATTTTCAGGCGGGAAATGCCGCTGGTAAAGCCAAGTCTTCCTCACTCCATGATTGGCCATTTTTTTTTTTTTTTTTTTTTTTGTTGAATTATGCATGCCATCCTCGTGCAGGGGCCATGCTAACCTTCTCGGTATCATTCCATTTTTGACGGGTGTCCCAAGGGCAACAACTTCACTTGTTTTTTTTCCTCCTTTTCTTTGTTTGTTTTTCGCCTCTCCATCTAGTTCAGAAGGAGACTGTCGATGTGCATTAGCTAACCTGAACACCTTTTTTTTGTGTATGTCAGTGTTGCATAAACCCGACGGTCGGCACCCATTGATTGGTCGGTACTTACTGGTCAGGGTTGTCGGCACCCTGAAAAGAAAAGAAAAACAGAAGAAAAGGGTCCAGAACC